TCTAGTCACATATGACCTCATCAGGGTCACCCCTGGCAGGAGTATTAGTGCCCACATGAATGAGCTGTTTGAGGTAGTAGGTAGAGGGCTGGGTGAATATCAGCATGCCTTTAGAAACATCTCAGGTTCAGGCTCCTGTTAAGCAGCAGACTGCCTCAGACAGCAAGTTCAGTTGGTAGACAGAGGCCTCTGTGCTTTGTATGAGGGTGTTACCAAACACCATCATTCTTACCTTCATCTTGCAGCTGGTGCCCTTAATCCTGCCAGCTTTGGGGGTGCACAGCTTTGCCTCTTCCACCAGCAGAGAAAGCTCAGCTCCCTTGTTTCACCTTTTTTTTGCCTTCATGGTTGGGAGTCAGAAGTGATCAGCTGTCAGCTTCCATCCTCCAAAGCATCCAGTTTCCTTGTTCTTTGGTGCCTTTTCTGGCAAGTTCTCTTCCACGATTTTGGATGTCTGCTTGTGCATTGGCACAAAGGGTGTCATTCTGTTTTCTGCCTAGTCATCTAAATGGTCATTTTTTGGTCCTTTATGTGGTATTTTTGGCATTTATATACCCAGGCGGAATTCTATTCCTTGACACCTAGCCCTGGGCATATGGATGACTACATATGCATTCAGACTGGGCATGCTCAATAGTAGCGCAGGCACACTGCTTTAGACACCTAAAACTAAACTCACTAAAATCTGTGTGATCATGGATTACCATGCTTAGACTCAGGAACCAGAGGTTGGAGGAGACTCCCTATCTTCTCCAATCCCATAGCTAAGTGGCTAGGACAAGGGTCTGCAACTTACGGCCCATGGAATTGGGGAGCTTTAGTGGCATTCCTGCAGCAGGTGGCTTTCCCCGTGCCATGGCCAGGTGTCCTAGTGCTGGCCAGCACTGGGCCTGATCTGGGGCATTCTGGCCTGCTGCTAGAAAATACTGTCAACTGCTGGGATAGAGCATTCACATGAGAAACAGGAGAACCTGGCTTCTAGGTCCCTTCCTCACCCACAGAGGTGTTTGAACTTGGGTCTTTTTAACTTCACAACACAACACTTCAAGCACTGCATTACAGACGAACCTGTCTGGACACTTATCTTGCTGAGATCCTTTGACCCCAGCTGACTTCCTGCCCTTGGGGCAGGGGGCTGGACTCGATGATCTTCCGAGGTCCCTTCTAGCCCTAATGTCTGTGAAATCTATTAAATGAAATTACCAAGTCCCTTCTCTGATACTGCTCTTGATAGCAATGAAAGTCCATGCTACACTAGATAATAAGAGGCTCTTACTCTGGGGGATCCTGATACAGAGCCTGAGATCAAGCCTATCTCCCAGAAGGGAGAACTAATGGCATAAGGAACTTGAATTCCTGGCACCCTTCCAAAGCTCATGAGAGCTCCCAGAAATGGAGAGAGAGATTAGGTGCCAAAATCTCCTCTCTGGCCACAAACATCACACCTTATTGAGGTTCCTTCTTCCTTCTGCTCAACACCACCCTCCTCAGCTGTCTACTTCTCCTTTGTAGGCTTTGTCCCTTATGCCAGCCACCTCAGTTTCCATACACCCAATTCACTGCTAATACCAGCCAAGCTCTGTGGTTCCCTCACAGTTCTTAAAACCAGCCCTCCAGTGTGGCTCCGCTCCTTCCCCTGCATTAACAACAGACCCATTGGAGCTAACTCCTCTTTCAGAATTCAGTCTGTCATGTACCTCTGGGGGCCTGAACCTTAGCCCTGTGTATTTCCTCTCCTGCCACATACCTCACATTATCTCTTCTCCACTACTGCTACTGATATCTGGCAAGACAGAAAAGATAGGATCCAAGTACTGCTCCTAGCACTTGGCACTGCACAGAAGGCTACACCACTGTTACTACAGAGACCCTGAAGCCTGATGCCATTCCTCACATTAACAGCAATATTGGTGCTGCTATCTATCCTAACAGGTAGGGAAACTTTTGCTTTTTGTTGAGACACTGGTGCTTAGAGCTCCATCCCCAGATAAAGTATTTGCCTTTGCAGTACCAGTGTTCAATTCTAACGTATAGAGCAGTGGTGGGCACCCTTTTTGTCAAGTGTGCTACAGGCATATTAATCGGCATGGCTACACCGCAGTAACTGCTGTGACTGTGATTCTAGTGCAGGATGCAAAATCTGCCAAAGAAAATGGAGAAGTCCTCCAGTTCTTCGTCCACACTGAGTTCTGTGCTACTGTAGCTAGATTTATATTGATAGTGGAGATAGTTTATTTAAGTCTAGCTTTGGTCTATGTGACAATGACTGCAGTTACTGAAGTAGAGAAATACCCCTCAAGGAAAACGTGCTAAATGGGAATGACAGATGAAAATGGAAGGTGGGTAAGGTTGGATGACACGTCCAATAAAATTATTTTCAGTTGCTTATCATTTTCCAGATATTTGAGCTAATATTTTCCATATAGGGGCCACGTCTACAGGAAATGCTGACTGCACAGTAGCCTGATACTATTGTGCAGTAGTGTCATGTGAGAAAAAATGTGATGTGACGCTACTGCGCAGTACTATTAGGCTACTGCACAGCAGCATCACCAAAAAAGGTGTTCTCAGGCACTACTGCACAACTCAGGTTACTGTACAGTCATTTGATTAGACCAACTAAAATAAAATACTTCTTTGCGGGTTTTCAGGTACATGCACACTTCAGGCAGAGGGTGTACCCAAAACCTTGTAAAGCACTGTATTCATTTCCAAATATGAATTTGGTCATCTATGGACATGTCTACACCAGATGCTTTACTACACAGTAGACCAATTTACTGCATGGTAAGCATCACCATCCACACATGCAGATGCTTACTCTGGAGTAAATTGGTCTACTCCGCAGTTAATTTGCTACCTGCGAATGCAGATAGGAAATTAACTGGAGACTAAGTACCGCACAGTAACACACGTGTAGATGGATAACCAGAAACAAATTTGCTCCTGGTCAGCCAGGCAGCAGGGGGCAGGAGATTGCTCCCTGTCCCCAGGGGCTGCCTCCTGCCAGGGCAGGCTCTGATGGTGGAGCCTGGGCTGGGACAATGTCCCCCTACCCTGGCAGCAGGGAGTTCCTGGCCCCAGCTCTGTGACTGGAGCAGGGGCTGGGAGGTTGCTCCCTGCCCCTGGGTGAGGTGGGATCCAATGGCAGAGCTTGGGAGATTTCAGTATTGGTCGGAATGTGTGTGACCACCTTATTTATACTAACAACTTATGCTAATGCCTACGACCACCCTTTCACACTTTGGTGCCCTTCCTTCTTGGGCCACTTTCTTATTTCCCAGACTACCGTCCTATTCAATGCTTATCCTCGGTGTTGAGATTTTTCAGAATTTTCCCAATCCTGAGTTTTTAAAGCTCTTATAAGTTGGACCAGCCCTGATCCCAAGGGGCTATTTCCTCATTTATTCAAATGGAGCCCATCCCTGGATAGAAGCTCTTTATGTGTAAATGCCTGTCAGAGGCCATGCATCCCAAAACCATAAACCATTCATTTATCTTGTCATGCTTTCTCTCTCCTTCTCTTGAGCAGGAAAGAATCCTACTGAGGATAACTTGAGCTTCTAGGTTTTTTTACGGTCTTCCCCAGCCTAGTATAGTTGTTCTTTATCTTTGTCAGAAAATATCCAGCCATATTATTTCTTTTCACATAAAGACAAATTAATAGCTTCTTCCCTTCTCCCATTAGTATCTTCTTCAGCCTTAGGTTTGTGTCCCATATCTTCATTCCTGATAAACAGCACACCCTTCTGTTTCCTAGGTCATTTCTTGTAACTGGTCCTTGTAGATCCTTTAGAAGAGACTCCATAACATAGACTGATCTAGTTCTGGGCACTGCACTTCAAAAAAGATGTGGAGAATCTTGAAAGGGTCCAGAGAAGGGCCACAAAAACGATTAAGGGCCTGGAGGACAAACCTTATGAGGAAAGACTAAGGGATCTGGGACTGCTCATCCTGGGGAAGAGAGACTTGGAGGGTACTTGGTGGTCATCTATAAGTATGTAAGGAGTGAATATCAAGAGCTGGGAGAAAAACTGTTCACTAGGGTGCCCCAGGGGAGGATAAGGAGCAATGGCCATTAACTGTTAAAGGATGGTTTCTGGTTGGATGCAAGGAAGAACTTCTTTACAGTAAGGGTGACCAGAATCTGGAATAAACTTCCCAAAGAGATGGTGCAGTCCCCAACCTTGGAAGTCTTCAAGAGGAGACTGAACAGACACCTTGTTGGGATCATTTGATCTCAGCAGTGTTGCTGCCCACACCAGGGGGTTGGACTCAATGATCTATCAAGGTCCCTTCCAGCCCTTAATTTCCATGATTCTATGATACCCAAAGAACTTTGTCTGCCTATGTCCTTAGACCAACACGGCTACAACCAACACCCCTGCACAGTCATTTAGTACTTGTTTATACAACTACTAAATAAATGTGCATTTGCCACTGTGCGGTAGCCTCTTGTGTAGATGAAGCCTGGGTGTTTACTTCAGGCTGAATTTTAAGAAAACCTCAACCAAAATGATACAGCAATTTCTAAAGAAAACAAAAAACTATGGAAAAGTGTGTCGCTCTATCCAGAGTCTGAAATTAGAAAGGGGAACAGAGAAACTGTGACTGGGAGAGGGTGAGCAGATGGGACCTTTTGGGCCAGGAAACTGGGATTCTCTAAAAGAGGAGGCTGAGGAAGCATAAGTGGCACACGAGCCCCCATACTCAGTAAAGGGAGGTGCTGGAGTGGAGGCAGGGGAGACAGACTTCCATGTGGCCAGAGGCTCAATCTGTAGCAACCCTCTCTCTCTCCAGTATGTATCCAGGATTTTGACACCCCGCATATCCTTTTAGTATCTGAAGGTTGAGGCATTCACTGAAATATATCCATCATAACTACCTCCCTTCCAACTTCTCTAGTTTCCCTCACTTGTGTGATCCTCCTTTCCAGCTCTCCATTCCTTTGTTACTGAACTTCATCTCTCTGTTGCCCTCCCATTCTAGCATGGTTTTACCTGGTGAACTGCCACTGCTGGGTGTGCAGACAATGTCATCCAGCCACACACTCTGAACCAAGGAATCCCGCTTCTGAGGGCCCGAGACAGAGCACATCAGCTCCTAAACAGGATAGAAAAGAGATGTTTTAAAAATGCATTTTGTAATCATTAGTACTAAGAATGGGGACTCTCTAGGGGAGGGATAAGTCTAAAATTTGGTGTGAGCAGGAGATGGAGACCCTGAGCATGAAGGGAAGGGAATCTGAATTTTAGAGGTTATGTACTCACCGTCTCATTCTCCTCTTCCTCAGATGTTTCATTTTCCCTCACTCCACTACAACAGCTGCTCACATTGGAAGAGGAGCGCGAGAGTGGCTGCATCACACAATATCCTGAGCTTTGATTGGAGAGGGTTCTATGGAACCGAAGCCCCAGAGTTATCATCTTTGTGATATGCAGACCTCATTTTGCATCATTCACCCAAGATTACTCAAGAATTTCACAGACATTAACAGCCTCACACCACTTGTGATGTGACTTTATTACAATTAATACAGGAAATGACTCATTCACAGGCAGTTTCAGGTAGGAATAGAACACAAGATATATGCCTTCTCTTTCCTGCCTGCACCAATTCAGATGACATTTTTTCCATTCAAGGTAACAGTGTAAGAGAACCAAGAAAGCAAGATACTTGCAAAGCACAAGTCTCTGCCAGGGGCAACAAGTGCGTGTCCTGAAAGGTGATTTTAGACTCACTTGCTCTTCCTATTTGGGAATTCTGGGGAGCTGGGACTGGAGGATCCATCAGACTTCAGGTCAAGTAAAGGTCCTGGACTATCAACCACCTTCTGGATCCCCTCAGCAACATCCTTACTGGAATGAAATTAAAAACAAGGGCCAGGAGTCACAACCATGGAATCTAATGCTCTCTACACTGTAAAATGCAGAGATCTTTCAGCAACACACAGAGATGGAAAACAGGCAGGAACATTACAGAATAGGACAGTCTTCTTAAAAGTGACCTGCAAAGATAAAATGTATTGGGACTGGTCCCTTTTAGGCTTCTTTATAATGAATAAAAAGCCATGAACTGAATTAAAAAAAAAAACCCTCTATTTTTGGGCACTGCACTTCACGAAAAAAGTGCTGATGATTCTGCCTTGAGCAGGAGGTTGGTTTAGATGACCTCCTGAGGTCCCTTCTAGCCCTGTTTTATTATGATTGAAACATTAAAGATACCAACGTTGTGACATCTGATTGAGAGTGTCCTGGGTTTTCTCTTTAAAATTAGTTAAATTTCTTCATTTTGGTTGATAGCTATTTAACTAAGACACTCGTGAGAGAAGCTCACAGTATAAGCCATTTAGCATTGTGACTTCTTTAACTGTCACCTAAAAAAACTCCCAGTCCCGATCTCAGGGTCAGCTAGGGTGACCACCCGTCCCTAATTGGATGGGACAGTCTCAGAATGGGAGCCTCAAGTCCTGGTCTTGGGCTGCATGACCCTGGGACAGCTTTTGACTAGGATTCACAGCATCATGCAGAGATCCATGGGATTCAGGTTTCCTTTTGCAGGCTGGCACACATGTACGTGGCCAGGAATACAGCTGGGCAGTATGGAGAGCAGCTCCTTGCAGGAAAGTCTATGGTGGGAGGGGACATAGGGAGAGCATTGGGGGGTGGGGGGCAGATCGAGGCCCCCATGGTTAGGGAGGGAGTGGGGCAGGGGCTGGGTGTGCTGACTATCAAGGGCAGTGCATGGGGCCAGGGCCCTGGGAGTGGAGCAGAGTAGACCCATGGGCGGCTCAGCCAGAGGGTGCGGGGCATGGGGTCAGGTAGCTCCCCACCACCGTGCACACTTTGTGCCCCCTAGATTTGTGTGGAGGGTGGGGGTGGATGCAGACTGCATGCTGCGAGCGCTTGGGGCTCCCTTCCCTGCTGCCCTCCCCCAGGAGTCCCATGTCACCATAATGAGGCACCCCCTGCCTCCCCGGCAGCAGCAGGAGTGACGGTGGCAGCAAGTTGTGCCCCCCACTGCTGCCGAGCAGGCAGGTGCCATGGTGGCACGGGGCTCCTGAGGAGAGGGCAGCAAAGCAGGGAGCCCCAAGCCCACAGTGGGTACTCGCATCCATCCCCGCGCTGCTCAGCTCCGCTCCAGCTGTCCTGCCTGTGCAGGTGGTGAGAGGTAGGCATCAGTCCCACCTTTATATTCTAAAAAGGTGGTCCTGCTAGGTTCAGCCATCTAAGAAAAGCATGGAAGTCTAAGCTTGGGATTCATGAGATATATATGTATACAAAAATATAAATAAAGACCTTCTGTATAGGAGAAGCAAAAGGTAAGCTTCAAAAAAACTGAGTACTGTAATCGTTTTTGGTTTATATGTTCTGTTAAAGAGAACTTGCTTCTCAATATCTAATCCTTCTCAAAAGAAAACTTACATTATCTTAAATTAAAATAAGACTGAGCATCTTACTTAGGTAAGGGCCTAAAAGGGAAGGTAAGGGTAGTAGGAGAGGTTAAAAAGGCATAGGCCCTGTTCCTTGTGACAATGCTGCTGTTCATATGATGGGGAGGTAAGGTTTTCTCCTCTTCCATATTGACTCTATTGGCTGGTTCTTGGATTTCATGGAACAACTGGAAAAATTTCATGTTAGTTACAAGGTAGTTAAGGCACTGGGCTTTGAGTTTAGAACACACTTGACAACTGAAGTGCAGTACATCATTAAGGGGTATAAAAGGCTTCTACTGCTTAGGTTACAACTCTTCAATGCTTATAACTCAGTCAAATTAAATCCAACTGCTGCTCCTGGGACAAAGCCACATGATGCTCCTCACTGGGTGCATCTATACATGAAAATAACACAACGCAATAAACTCCAGAGCAGTTTGAGCCACAGTCAACTGCTCCCAGACACAGTGTCATGCACCTGGGGTAGCAGCAGTTTGAGCCAGGATGGAGCAGCCCTGGGCTAGCAGCAGACTCATGGGGTTAGCCCTGGGCTGGCTGGGGTACAAGAATACTAAAGTACTGAGCTGTGTGCCAGGCAGGCCCCACACTTTCGCACCCTCATGCTCCAGCCAGCCTGTGTCACCATCTACACGTGCATTTCATTGCACTTAATTACTGTGCCATAAGACAGTACTGTCCCTGACTGACAGTACTATCTTATGGCAGAGTTAATTAATTTACTGTGCCCTAATACCAGCGCACATGTAAACAGTGACACTTTACTATGTACTTAATTAGTCGACTTCAGTAAAACGCATGTGTAGATGCACCCAGTGAGAGCTATTTTTAGTCTGCAACTCTCAAGCCTCAGGCATTGTGCTTGAAGTCCATTTGCTTAAAGCCATCCAAAGAAAAATGACACAATCGCTTCTTTAGAAGGCCAAAAGATTGTCCACTTGCTCTTTTTCTTCCATTCTCCTCTACTTGAAAACAGCTTAAAGGTTGTTTTCTTTTTTACAATGGATGTTTAACAGGAGCAGCTATCCTAAATTACCCTGTATTTTCTCTTAGGGCACAAACAGAAGTTGTATTTGTCAAGCAATCAGCCCCTTGAAAGCACTGTACAGCCATGCCATGACACAGGTGCATGGCTGCAGAGTGCTTTAAAAGTGGCTGATTGCACAACAAATTAACCCTCGAGTGAGAGATCATAGGAGGGCACTCCACTTCGGAGCACCTGAGGGAACTTCTGTTCCCTAGGGTCAATCTGTTGTGATTGGGGCTAGGCTGATGCAGCCCCACCTTGCCTCCAGTGCTGTCTGCAGGAAAGGATGGGGGAGCGCAGAGGGGGAGTGAGTTGTGGGCTGTGGTTTGGGTTGTGAGTGAGTTGTGGGCCTCGACTGAGCTGGGTTGGGGGGGGTGGACTGGAGCTCCCTTGCCTCATGACCCCCCCAACTCTCTCCCCTCCAGCTCAGGCTGGGCAAACCCCAGCCCACAGCTTGCTCCCACTCCCTTTTCCTGGGTTGCGGGGGGAAAGAGCTAGGGGAGAGAGGCTATGGCAGGCTCCTTGGGCTTGATCAGCTCCAAAGTGGAGCTTGATTCCCACTCCCTGCCCCACATCCAACAGGTAAACATCTGTTGGGTCAGGGTGGCTGCTCTAACTCATGGCACTTTATGTAACGCACCATGAGTCAGAGGGGGGCCTGCACATCTGTCAGAGCCCTTAGATGAAGGGCTTGTCTTCTATTGTCCACTGCCTTTCATTTACTCTCTCTCTCCCTTCACAGTCCTCCTGTTGGTTCTTTTCATTTCTGTTTCCCATTAGTTCCCCAGCCAGTTTCCCCATGTCAGTCCACTCCCATTCCAGTTCTCTGGTTCCACCTCTCCTTTATCACTCTCGTTTTGTCTCCCCTTTCCCATTTTGCCTAATTTTTCCTCAATACTACCTTGATCATGTTACCCTTGTCTAATTTTCCTGGTCCCTCCCTGCTTCCATGGGTTATACCTCTTCTCCTCCTGGATGTTCTCAATGCCAATAGCACTGCTGCGTCGACTGTGGAAACGGCTGCCTCGGGTACGTGATGGACTCCTTCCAGGTAGGGCAAAAGACTAGAGAAAAGGTGAAGAAAGAAGTGATAGAAAGGGAAGAGGAGAACAGGAGAGGCAAAGTTGCAGAGAGCTGGAAACTGAGAGGTAGCTTCTGGCCTGGATCCCTGAGCCTCCCCTACATTTCCTCTCATGTGTGATCACACTGTCCAGAGCAACCCAAGGCACCAGAGCCTGATGAGATGATGCAGGCAAGCTGTCAGTAAGAAAGAGGGGGTGAAAGATCAACATAGTTGCAAAGCGAGAGAAGGATATGGCACGGGAGCAATGGAAAGACAGACAGGGAAGTTACAGTAGCTGAAAAAAGAGAGAGAGAGGATGCAGCGAGTTTGGAAGGCGGGGATAAATGTACATTTGAAGAAGTGACTTGGGCACAAAGAGGGAGATTCAGACAAGACAGAGAGGTGAAGAGGCAACAGACCCAGTTCATCATTACCTTATGTATTGCTTGGCCTGAAATATCTGTAAAGCTGGAAAAATTGTCTCCTGGATAATTTCCCCAAGTGAAATGGTTCTTCCTGGCTGACCCCAAACTGGTATCCTTGACTGTATGCAGCCCTCTATAGTAGTGGTACTCAACCTTCCCCACCCCACCCCCCACAGGCCAGATAGGTAATGCCCCATCTGCCCAAGGGTCAGATCCAAGCAGTGGTCCCCATCCAGCACCTGGGGTGGGTGTGGTAGGCTTCACTCGGCCATGTGGAGGGGGTCAAGGGTCAGTCCAGTCCCAAGACAGGCCTACAGGGAAAAGGGAGCATGTCTTGGCTCTGCAGGGGGAAAAAGGACATGCTTAAGCCCTGCGGCAAGGGGGGCAGAGGGAAGGATGAGAAAAGGGGGTGTGGCCTGGTCCCAATTCAGATGCAGAGGGAGGGGGTATAGCCCAGCCCCATGGAGGAAGTGAGCGCAACTCAACTCCAATGTGCTGTGCAGGGCTTAGGGTTTGGGAATTTGGTGCGGCAGGAAGGACAACCGTATTAATGACCCCAGATTTCCAAAACTGGGAGAAGCCCCATGGGCTGGATGCCAAGGCTCTGCAGGCTGTATTTGGCCTGCGGGCCAGAGGTGGAAAACCCATGCTCTATAGCAAGAACCATGGGCAACTGGTGCCTCCTAGCTTTGCAGGGCACCAGTGGCCAATCACTGCTGGGTGGGGTGTCCCCCAGCAGCCAATCACAGACTGGGGGAGGGGAGAGTCCCCCAGCGTCTGATCGTCAACCCCGGAAGCGCCAGCAGCGAACTGGAAGCGCAGCCGGCGCTTCTCGGTGGGGCAAAGGCCAACGCTTCCCACTCTCTCTCATACACTGCCTTTGCCAGAACCAAAGGCAGTCAGGTATAACCATATTTTCCAAATGAGAAACCATAATCCGCTTGTGGCAATACATTTTAGGCTTACGAAATACTCATTTGTAACATAAAAGTGAACTTTTTATGCAAACTGATTAAGTCCACTGACCCCACAGGAACATTCACATATTTCTGAGTGGAAGATTTTACCAGTAATGAGTTTATAATGTGACACTGCCGAAGGGTCCTTTACAGTCACATCAAGTAAAAGAATGGGTTTCACAGTGCCTTGTTCAACTTTTCTCTTACTGCAAACACTTTTCATCTCAGATCATTTGGTCCACTGGATGATTTACGTTGCTGTACTAAGAAATCTCTTAAATAGATGTTGTTTCGTAGTTATAAGAAAGTAACCATTTTAACTGATAAAACTAAAAACTTGGACTTTTTTGGTATCCTGAAGTTCTTAGTTTTCATAATATAAATTTACAGCACTAGTCTGGTAAAGCCAAGGCATAGGGCCTTCTTAAAGTTAGAGCAGCCCTCAGTCCTATGACAAGTCCAGGGTAATGGAGGCATAAGAGTGATGTAAAGCTGTCTTTGCCCTTCTTCCCATGCTCTACACAAATCCCAGCTCCAGTATGTATACGAATGTGATACAGAAAGAAATCACAGACAAAAAAGACAGACAGAGAACAAAAGATGCATGCAGGAAAACAGTGACACAATAAGTCTGCCCCCCTGCAAAAATCTACTGGTAGGGCAA